GGCAACGGAAGTCGGCAAACTTGCAGCATAAAAAGTATGGCATGTAATCGTTATGGAAGGCGGACAGACCAGGAACCTAAAAAAAGGGACCACTTGAGCTTGGGCATGCTCACCCTTGAGGACCGAAAAAGTCAAAAGGTCAGGAAAGCATAACAGCAATTATTTTTGGTCCTGCAACCGACCACAGCGAAATATCAACTCACTTCATATTGTCCCATATAAGGAGCTGTACCGAATTCATAGGCTCTCATTGGAAAACCGGGATTATATGGGACATCAGGTGTGACTTTGATTACCGGTTGATAGCTGGTCTGCATTAAATGACCGGCATCATCATAACAACAGACCTGGCCGTAGTGTGTCGGGAAGCGCCTGAAATGTAAGATTTCGAGTATGTTGCCAATTAACAAGACAACGAGAGAAAATTGATTTCCGAAAATAGATTTCTTTATCCATGAAGCAGGTCCACCTCAATCCATTGTAACAATAGTAATCTTAGGACAGTTCAGATTATCACTTACGCAGTATTCTCGCTTTCATATCCTTGTCCACTTCCAGCATACGAACCGTAGATATTCTGAGCAGACATATAACAGTTCCGTGCTCCGATAGCTACCGTGCAGGTGATATCACGGAATGCCTGAAATTACCAAGCATAGTTCCCTTATCAATCGGATATCTGCTGAATATTACTTAAGGAATTAAAGATGAATCCAAGCAAGTGCAGAACGAAGCCGTGGTTTATATATAAAAGATTTTGTACGATTTATCAAGAGTCAAGATTTACAGTATGAACTCCGCCTTCCGGCGCTGGAAGGAAGAGGGACATCTGGGTGACTAACAGCCTTCGACCTAAGTTCACGTCAGCGTTCACACTTTTGGGATTGGGAAGGTTTGAAGACGCTTCGCTAACTTCGTAAGTGTGGAGTCGCCTGTTCTTTTGTTCCACACATAAAGGTGCGATATGATCCTTCCTATATCCAAGGGGAGGAGGGTATTTCGGAGAAATTCCCACCTGAGAGCATCTAGGATGTGGCATGAATCGACCAAGGTCGGCCATTGCTTGTCTTTCAATACATGGGCATGATGAGTTTGTTTCGGTATCACGTATGAAATTCCACTGAGCACCATCTTCGTCATACCTTCAAGAGGAATCAGATGATAAGTTGCAAGCACAAAAATAAAAATAAAAATGAGAAAAATTCTCAAAAAATCCTCACCAGTCATGGCACATCTCCAGGGCCTTCTGTTTCACGAATTCCACCCTGGCGGTTTCATCGCCTTGAGAGAAAGTCGTTGTGGAGAATTCCGGGTTATTGGTGGTCCACAGCCAATGCAGCGAAATCGGAGCTGAGACGAGGCTGAATAGAAAAAATGCATTGGTAGTTCTTAGGTTGATTTCTATGGTCTAAATTCACTTTATTATTATAATTTATTGAAAACTATACCCTGATAGAAGGAAGGTTGGATTGAGCTCATTCTGATTCGGCTTGAGCGGCGCCAATTTCAGATACCCAAAACGGTAATTGTACAGTTCATGAGTTCGTTGCCATTCGTCCATATACCACTGTTCAACCTAAACAATGGCTTTTTCTAGGATCTTCCAGAAAAAAGTCATCAAATCGAGGCTTCGCGCCATCGTTTGACTTCATAATGTACCTGATAGATATTTATCCGTTCTTCTTGAGGCTTCCATCGATATTCGTAAGTGTTGCGATTAGAATAAGTAGCTAATCGGCAGATAATCCTATGTTCTGGTCGGAATTTCTTGATCTGAAAGGAAAAAATGGGACCATAAAACGTAACGTATGCTACTGTACTTCAGCAATGCCCTTGATGCTGATATTAGGGCAACTTTGACAGAGTAGGACTTTTCTACAAAGTCTAAATGGCCAAGAAGGGAAAAAATGCGGCCAGTTGAGGCATTCAGTTTGGCATAGAGTGGCAAATGCAGATAAGATTAGAAAAGTGGCAACAGCTATATAACCCATCAACGCTGATGGTTCACTACTGATTCAACTAGGAAACTAAGTAACCACCACGCTACTGGTCACGAAAGTTTCAGTTGATAAACTATCAAAATAATGAAATTTTTGTGAAGAAGATTAAGGGAACTTTCTTACTGACCCCATCATCTTTATACTCCCTGTAGCCGATAACATAGAGACCAAGCTGAACGCTATACATCGCGTCGTCACTGATCCTGACCGTTTCCATGTGTGTGGCTAAATCTGGATTCGTGAAGTTTCTCGGATACCAGATCAAAGGCATGACCTGAAAATGATAACCTGTATACCAAATTCTGGAAGAACCTTCAATTTGTTCAGAGAACCACAAAGCACTGACCGGATAAGGTACAGGATTTTTGAACCAGTCATAGATGTTACCAATATCAAGCCGCATTGGATCAAGGGTGGGCGGCACTGGAAGACTAAGCTTCACGGAAAGAATTGGGAGAGAATTGAGTGTTTAAAGTGAGAAAAAATTTTCGGGAAATGAACATAAACTTACCAAAATAGATATAACCAACGAAGGCTTTCTCGTCATTTGCGCCTCCACTTTGAGGCTGGAAATAGACAGTTTTTGTGCCCCAATCGTATATTTTTGGTAGATGGCATCGTGCTATTGCCGGGTTCAGCACTGTGCAGGTAGCGGTCTGAAAATGACTAAAATTAATTTGTTCTCGTTGTATGTACAATGAAACTGGCTCCAATTTAAGTGGACAGGTATATGTTACAAAACTGCGATTCCAGTCAGCCTAGTATCATGGTTTATACCATTCGAAGCACTTTATCAAGAGGGCTGAGCTACATATGCGTTCATGAGCCCGTTTATGACTAGCCTACAGGTCGAAACCAATACCCCTTCCCACCAAAATGAGATTTCTTGGAAACTGAAGACTGTACCTGACGCTGCTCAATCATTAAGATGTATGTTTGAGACCGATCGAGACAGATTGCGTTCACATCGACCGTCATCTCACCCATCATATTCACGATATTCGGGTAAATCAGCATGGGATCTAAAATGATCATACATGTTATTTACAATTCCAGAAAAAGTATAATAATATTATTTTTGAACTACACGTGCAGCGCCACTTGCCACTACACTACCTCCAGGAAGACAATTGGGAAAACCTCGAACATTCATTGAACATAAAAGATATCAATAGTATTGAATGGATTGAAATTGAAACGGGATCAAAATTTTAAATTTTTCTGATAATACCCTACATGTTCCTCCGGTCTTGTTACTGCAACCAGCTGGTCGAACAACATCATCAACTCGGAACATATAACGGCCACGTACCATGTGAGGGACACCAGAGCGTTGAGAAAGCACCTTAATTTTATGCCAGGTTTTAGAACACTAGGAAAATAATATAGAGCAAGAGGCAGCTGTAGTGACTAAAAAGTATGAATTGTAGGAGAGTGGACTTCGTACAAACCTTCGGAGTGTTCTTGAACGCTTGGGTTGGATCAACGGGAACAAGACCGGTATGGTTTCCTCCATTGAAGACAGCCTAGAATTTGGTTTTATAAAAGTCGGTAAAGGGTAAGTTCTGCAACAATTATACATCTAATAATTAGAAAATGACTCCTATATCAGCAAACAAAGGGCAAGAAACTGCGGGGGACATTCCGAAAAGGAGGTTCACGAAAAGAGGATCGAGGTGAAAAGGCTGTCGAGTGGCGCTTGATAGCCTCCCAGTAACCAACAAGTGAAATCCTGGGTGGGTATCTGTTCCTCAAAAGTTATTGTTTGTTCGGAACATCCATAAAAGTTTTGTTCTTTCTGGACATAGGTGAAATGTATAGTGTATTACCCCTAAAACTTAGCCAGAAATCTTAAATTTCTCTACTCCTCTCTTTCAGCTACCAAAACCAGTAGCTCTAAAAGGATTTGGGGTTCACTCGAGTAGATGGAGGGTCTCTTATTCTCCCTGAGTGTAAAAAATACAACTCTATCAATTATAAACACGCATTTCGAGTCCTCGGATGAAATTCTTCAAGCTGTTCCCGTTCAATTCGCGAACCTGCCTCTCACCTTTCCACCTCAACTACTCCTCCTTCCCGCACAATGACTCATTCGGCCCTAAATATAACATCCCCATACGGTTCCATTCCTAGCACCAAAATGTCTACGTGACTCATTCAAAGTATCCGATGGTCTCCTGTACTTTCTCCTGACTACTCATAGGTGGCGGTGATTGTTTTCTATTGACATAGTGTTCGATCATGCGGTCTGCGGCAGTGGTATGCAAATATATGAGGAGTCGAATTCCCGCACTCACTCAACGTACACCAGGTACAGCTGGTCTCAGCATGAGTCAGACATTGGATATGGGAAGAAAGGTAGTCGATATAGTGCAAATGGGTTTTGATTGAAAATGAGAAAAAAATCAAAAATTGGAAGAGGAATTTCAGTGAAAATAGAGAGAAAGGAGGACCAACCTGACACCTCCCACTCCTTGAGTTCGCTCGGAAATCGGCAGCATCAAAGCCGAGTTTGTCGTAATTAAGAATCACGTAGCTTAGCCGTGCAGCCTAAATGCAAGCCTAATAAATGCCATTTGTGGACCTCCCTTATTTCTATAAAAAGAAATTGGTAACAAACCGTTGATGTATAATGAAAACCTGCTTCGTGAATTATAAAGAAAACCATCTGGTGCTCAGGAAAATACTTACCTGATCAGTGAGCCAAATGAGTTGGTAAGTGGCAAGTTGGCCAGCGTCCATATCACTTCTTCCGGAAATGGCTGAAGCTGTGTTGTACCAGGTGACGACCAAAGCTGCATCAGCTCGGAAAGCTGCTGCTCCAGCGACTCCTTCTGTAAAAAAGCGTCTCAGTTGAGCTTCTCTACTTATTTATAGTATACTGAATAGGTACAGAAGTAGTACGAGAAGAAGGTATGCACAAGTCTTGACGACGCAAAAATGACGTTCTTGTGCCGTACGAGGTTTTGAGGTGGACCTATTTACTAAGTCAACCGTCCAGCTTTCGACCCAGCCGTCGTCTTCAGAGACCAAGGCTCCTTCGCTCGAGCGGAGAAAATTGGCTGTCGCTCTCCACATTTTTCCCGAAACGAAAATGTTCTAAGGTGCAAAGTGCACCTACAGTAGGAAGTTTAGGGGACTGTATAGCAAAATTTAGCCAGTTCGGATCCAAATGGGAAAGTTGTGATTCATCGAATAGTCGCTTACTCCCAAACACACTCTCTGCTATTTTGGAACCACTTATGAACTATGTACTCACTGCGGCTCTCGAAAGTCCAGATGATGCAAGGGTAAATATTAAGTATCAAATAGCCAAATAAGGTTTCGCGATGTGAAAAACGTCTACGTGACCACATACCACTTAAGATACAATAGCATTTCTGATTGAACATATTTACATCATCGATAAAAGCTTTCGGCCATAACAATGCGCTCTAATTCTGGGTTCACAGAAATGGCGGACGCAAGGCAAACTCCATAAAATGGTGTACGGCCGTTGTTCTGGTCATAGCTCAGGAAAAAGGTTCCATCGAACTGACCTTGTAACCAACGCATCATTTCATCAATGAAGTAGTCACTGTTGACATCACAATGCACATAACCTCCTGATGTTCCTTGACAAGCCTGAAATTAAGGCTTGGGATAGAAATATTGTTTGGATGCAGCCACCTAGGTAAGCCTCTTTCTGCTTTTTACAAACCTGCATAGCTGACTGGCCAAAGAAGCTGCTCTGATACGAACCACCTAGGTTCATGTTACTGCCAGATCCTCGACCAAACAAGGACTGCCTCATCATCAAACGGAAGAAAACACCCGATCGCATTCCCGGATTCATTTCTTGTGGGATCTGTAACACTTTCATATTCAAGACTAAATCAGAATAATCAGAATAAAGTTCTTATTCAGACTCTAGAGGTATGGCACAAAACTTACCTGCTGTTTGCAGAGATATGGAGCAATCATGGCTGGATCCTGGTGCTTTGGCCAATCGGTAGACTCAGGACCGATGTTGATAGTGGGTCCTTGATCCAGTACGGTAGCGAAACCGATGTATCCATTTACAGATATCTGCAAAACTGCATCTTCTGTCAGGAAGAAATTTTTGACAGAATTTGAGAAGATTTTAAGGATATCTCGATTCTCTTT